GGCGGAAATAGACAAACTAACTATGGAAATGAGAGGCACGAAGAAATGGACATTTCAAAAAACCTGGAAGAGACTATATGATTGGTATAATGTGAATGGAGTTAAAGATTAAGCTGATATGGCAAAAATAATATTTGAGTATGTAGTAATACATAATAATGGAATTAGAGAATATTAACAAATGTTAGAGAATAATGAAGCGATGGATTAGGTGTAGTGACAAACTGTAATAAGTCTCTTGATTTATATGTTGTTTGTTGTAGTTGTCTATGTCTGTGTTTAGGAATATAAGAAAACAATAAATGTGTACCTTCAGGTACTTTAAAAAAAAAGTAATTTAATTTAATTAATGCCACGCTGACACACACCACCTGAAAAAACTCCTGGCTACGCTCCTGAGCGCTGGTCACCCTGATTGGCTGTAGCAGTACCCTGCCCCTCGGAAGCATTCTGCAGTGTTCCCTCTAAGCTGAGTTCGTGTGAGCTAGCTCACTGTTTTTTAGCCTCCGACTCACACATTTTTGTCTCAGCTCAGGGAGGAGGGCTCCAGAGCAAACTAATTTATGCAGCAGCCAAATCGCTCGCTCACAACTTGAATGCCAGTAGCTCACAAAGCGGAATTTTTACTCAAGAGTCTCCACGGCATAGAGGGAACATTGCTACCCTACCTCAGATATGTGCGTGAGTCCTCTCGGCATTTTCTCTAGGAAGTCTGTAATCGGGGATCAAACCAGTCCTCCCTCGCACGCTGAGCCTGAACTGCTCTGCTGAGCTCTAGCTCTGCATATACAGCCTCTTCACCGCTGGTCGACGTAGCTGGTATTCCCAAGGCCCGTGCGTGGAGCTGGCACAGGCTAAGCCCCCGGGAGATTATAAGAGCCTCAATCATGACTCTTCCTTCGGTCTACTGCCGTGGCTGTGTGGTGAGGGTGTTATTCTCTGATCCTCGGCTCCTTCCGCCAGCCCCATCTTCCCATGCAATGTTATTGTCGCAAACAGGACAGCCAAAAGAAACCAGGCTTCGCCTTGTGGAGGTCACAGCGACCTCTCCCAGCAGTGGGACTCAAATCCAAACCTCCTCTCTCCCCACTGCCCCTGCCAAGCAAGTCACAGCTCATGCGGTTCTGAATGTCCACTGTTCCTTATCCATATGGGCCCCTCTGGGCAATTCAGTTTAAATCGGGGAAACTGCACGCAGCTTAAGCAGTACCCTGCCTCAAGAATACTGGCCGCTCTGACTGGCCGTAACACTATGCTGCTGCAGAAGTGCAGGAAGAGGCATAGCCAGCGGTAGGGCATTTGGGGGCAATGCCCCCTCCCCAGCCTGCAGTGCCCCCCCCCCCAAAACCAACGCCTCCTGCCAGGGTGGCCTCAAAATGTTCTCGGGCTTCTGCATGCTGCAGGTGACCAGCTCCAGCAAAGGCTGAGCACCACATCAACGCTGGCCTCACCGCACTCAGGCTGGAGCGCTTGGCCAGGTGGCACGCTTGCATGGCCGTGCCCAGCTCGGCCTAGCCTACCACATCGCAAGGAGCTGGGAGCAGGCTCGGCTTGCTTGGGCTGGGCTAGGGGGCAGCGGCTGGTGTTGCTATGGCTGAGGCGCTCACGGGAAGGCAACAGCACTGCCGCCACCACTGCCAGGATCAGCTGCCCTGGGCGAGAAGGCTGGCCGTGCTGCAGCCATTGGGGCAGCCTGCCTGGCATGAGTGACTCGGCTGGCTCTCTCCCGCAGGCCGGCGGGGCTCTCCTCCCGTTGGTGGCAAGGAAGGATCAACAGGAGGAAGCGAAGGTCTTTTGCGAGCCTTTCCTTGCGGCTCGGTAGTCTGTGGCCAGGGATCCAGGGTGCCTTCCCTGCCCAGTGGTGATGTGGGACCAGCGGTGCTGTACGGGGCAGGCAGGAGGAAGCAGTAGGTAGAGCCGGTGAAGAGCTACTCCTCTCCCTCTCCCCACTCCCCCTCCCTCCCCTGCTCCATTTAATTAAATAGTAAGATAGGCACATTTTATCATATGTGGTGGTTATGTGATGTTTCAAAAAACTTCTGGAAATGGGTACATTGTATAATGGAAAAAATAGTAAGATGTAACACCCCCTTTACTCCAGAATGGCTATTGTTAAATATTTTTCCGAAAGAATTTGAGGAAACGGATAGATGCCTGATTGTATACATGTCAACGGCGGTAAGGATATTATATGCCAAATACTGGAAGAATCAAGAAACACCAACTAAACAGGAATATATTAATAAACTTTTAGAAGAAACTAACTATGGAAATGAGAGGCACGAAGAAATGGACATTTCAAAAAACCTGGAAGAGACTATATGATTGGTATAATGTGAATGGAGTTAAAGATTAAGCTGATATGGCAAAAATAATATTTGAGTATGTAGTAATACATAATCATGGAGTTAGAGAATATTAACAAATGTTAGAGAATAATGAAGCGATGGATTAGGTGTAGTAACAAACTGTAATAA